GAGGAACATCGTAGGCTTTCCCAGTTGTCGCATCATGGTGAACCAAATTTCTCTTCCTTTGTTGCCAATACTGTACTGAATTCGGTATTGATTTGAGCAATGATAGATTTCGCTCAATGCACTGCTCCATGAATAAGGCGGTCCTTAAAGTTGACACGTGTAATGTTTGCGGTCCCGTGCACTTAAAAGTGCATTGCAAGCCTTCGGAAACTCTAAGGCGAAGGACTTTCATTGTCATATACAACAAATGTTGGGGTTTGGCCACAGGCCTGTCTTGACGACGAGTTTCACTGGATGCCATCATGAAATATGTCACGCGTACCCCTGGATTGAAGTTCCGTAGATGGCCAAAACATATGGCAGGAAAAGCTGTCTCTTCACCGTGCTCGTCATATATTAATGACAGAGGAACTCTGTTTTGCGCGGGGGCAATCTCCAGGCATTTGTTCTCATTCCAAAGGAGCGTTTTCTGTTGCCCAAGCAGCAATTCTGTCTCATTATCCACGGTATTGGTTTCCAGCTAAATTTGAGGATCCACTGCAGGGGTTTCAAGACCATCTATGGCGATCTGATCAATTGGGATCCCGTAGCGGCGGTACAGTGGTGTCGTAATCTAATAAGAAAGCGCCTCTGTAACCGTAGTTTCCTTTATAAAGCCGGACAAGTACGACGACTTATGGATTACGTGCACTCAAAAAATAAATCACATTTCTAATGGAAAATATCCATTAGAATTTCACATACCTTTCATGTGATCTCATAATTGGGAATCGCACCACAAAATCACATGCACCTTATGTGTCCAATGAAGTTTATGTGATTTATTACATACAATTCAGGTGATCGTATAAACGTTATGTGAATTTCAGATAAAAATCATTAATTTTGTTATTGGAAAAATATCATGTGCACTCCAAATGGAAACTGTATGAAAACTTTTTTCAGTGTACTTTTTGATGAACACGTCAAGCTGACGGGGAAGAGAGCGTCGTCTCGCTTACACAACGCAAACGGTAGCACAACATTCGATCAAAAAGAACATTATTAAATAACTATCATATGACATATGTGATTTCGTTGTAATTCCTCAATTTGATGTAATCCATCAGTAATTTTATTACTAGGACATCGTTGCTTGCTATTTTCAGAATTCACACTAGCACAACATCAGCAGCTCTTTTTATGAGAAAAACTTAAACGCCTACATGCGTGACGGCCTTTGGCGACAGCGTCGTATGAGAAAGCCTGTCATATGACATTCTAGTTTGGTACTGTAAATTGAAAGCTTGATTTGCAAGTGTCGGAAGCAAAGGCAGTCGATTATCACAGAAAGTGTGTCGACTACGATAACCGCTTACAAGACTGATCTCGATACGACTTTTTTTCGCACGGCATAGACGAAAATTTTCCTCTTTAAGCAAAGATTGACAGTATATTATAAGAACTTTCGGTGGAGTGAAGATATAGTATGAAGGCCGCCATTTTTCACGCACAGTCTGACGTTTGCTTACGGGATATTTCATATGAGGGAAAAGCTACACAGTCGCCGTCAACGCCAATTAATCATTTTGTCAAGCTTCTGCATTCATGTTCCATCAGATGTCACTGCTGTTATTTGCAGTGACATGTATCGGAAACTGCACACAATCTGTTTTCCGTTAATTGTTCACAGAGGACACTGCAGTGCAAAACATGTCTAGTACCTCTTTACATCATTTAGATTAATATTCGAAATCCCTCCTTTTTTACACATTCTGTAAACAAAATAGCTCACCCCTCACAGAATTTCCCGCCAATTTTTATGAGATATCAGACATGTTTTGTAGTGTCAGGTACTCTATTTGTAATCTGTGAAATTGAAATGACAAATCGAATGTCATCAAAATACATGGCATGTTGAGAGATTGAGGTCGTGAGAGCAAATTTTCTCTCTCAAATTTGAATTTGTTGGCTCTCTGGCGACTGGTAGTAACGCAGGTAAAACTGTTTGGGGAAAAATCTTTTTTTTTTAGTTGTAGCTTGTTTAACAATAATTTTCGGGGGAAAAGTGAACGACAAGTCCCTGACTAATTTCTTTAGATTGTCGTTCACTTTTTTTTGAACTGAATATGCACCGAAAGCGAATTATTCCCACTTCTCTCATTTTCTATATGGGGATTTTTATCACTTCCTACCAGTGGAACAGCGCCATCTCTGTGGAAAGTGGTCGGACGAAATGATTAATTCTATCAAAAAGCGGATAAATGAGCAGGAAAACGGTTGACAAGTTGCAGGGGTGTTTTTACTTTATGCTTCTTTCCCTTCAGAATCAGATTATACTCTAGATAGTAAAATTCGATTCTGAAGGGAGACGTAAACTGAAGAAAAAATCCGTTTAAACTGTAGCGAACGCCGCAGCTTTTGCCTACGGATCCGTATTTCCGCATAAATTTGTAAAATCCGTAGATCTACGGAGATTTCCGTAGATCTGGCATCTCTGGCCACAACTGTAAATCGCTTGCCAAATCATGGCCTTCTTCGCAAACTTGTCGGCAAACACGAACTTGGATCATTCCCGCACCTCCCCACGTCCAGTCGCGATGTAAAACTTTTGACCGGGAAGCTGCTTAAAATCGAGTTTGACGTATGTTTCATAATCGATCAAAGTGCAGCCCTTGTGTTTCAACAAAACACGGTCGTACAAGAGCCTTGCACGCTTTTTGGCCATGGAATTCTGCTTTGTGTGCCGGTTCGGATGTTTACTGGCTTTGTACGACTTGTATCCTTCCCTGGCAAGGATGTTCCGCATCGTTTGAAAGTTGGCGTTGTACCTTCTGGCTACATCTAGGATCGAAAGACCGGTGTTGGCTTTAACGCACCTCAACAACTTGCTGCGCAGCTGACGATCCCTGGTTCCAGTTTTTTCGTACGTCAACTGATTCCTTTCCACACTCAGTAGTAGGCGATGCAGTAAAGTTACATTTTGAGCAAGGTTGGCCTTTGTGAGAGCCGATTTTAATAATTATAACGAATTTTAACTCCGGCCTTTGTGGACCAGTTTTTGATCCTGATGCACCATTCAACGCATAATTAATTTTTGTGTCGGCGTTTTCAACATGTCACACAGAAAAAAAAATCGTAAAATCTCCCTTCGTTTAATTATGAGCTATACTTGGCATAAATAGAGTTTACAAGCTTGCTAATTTTAATTTGCATGAATTTTTCGAACGGTGCAGGTAGCTGGCAGACCACCCCGATGCTCTAAGGGCCAACAATGGTAAACCAAAAAGTTCCACATACATTATTACTCGCCACGTTAGAGGCTCTTTAATTATAGCGATAAGTGGAGAATGTTATAATTTCATTGAACGCTGCTTCAATAACGAGGTATTTCATCAAAGGAATATAAAATGATAAAAACAGTCATGACATCTCCTGCTCAAGCTTCGGGACCCGGAAGATAAATGTTATTGAAATTTGCACGAATCGCACCAAATTGTTTTCGATTTCCATTACGTCACCACCTTGCAACGTTTTTACCTTTTAGCCAGCTTTTATTTTGTCCTAGAAAAAAAAATTGAAAAACGCAATCGATCCCATGCTTCAAATGATTTCAAATTAATTTGCATACAGTGATTGTCATTTTGATTGAATCATTAGCCTTTTAATTTGCTCATTTGGGAATTCATCGGTATAAACAATCAACAGACTTCATTTGGAGAGTTTTCATGCGAGTGGTAATGACTGAAAGCTTGTAACCGTTTAGTTACAATGTCCTAGGTTTTAATTTGTGCATGTTGTTTTAGGAAACTGTAGTGTTTGTTTAGTGTCAGTGTTGGGTTAGTAGGATTAGTAGGATTGTAGGTAAAATTGCTGTTATTGAAAAATGTATAAATTTGTCTTAGTAGGTAGTTTGAAAATGATATTTGTTTAAAAGCTTAATTGAATGTGACAGGATCGAAAGGGTGTTATAATCAACTGTGGTAGAAAAACTCAATAGGCGAAGGAGATGATATGGATGGGTGGTGATAAGCTACAAGGAAGGAAAATGGAGGAAATAATAAGGAACGAATTGAAAACTGGATGGGAAAAGGAGGGCTTTTGATAGCTGGGATGGTCAACCATTGCCGAGAAGTAAACCGGCGTTTGTGCCTAGAAGACGTGAGTGGAGTGCACGGAGATCCTCACGATCGGCACTTTTCGACCAAGTCAGTCTCGACTGTCTTGGTCTAAATGTCAAGGACCTTCAACTCTCCGGCTTAATAATTGCCACAAAGGAGAGCATCCTCGGACTCGGTAGTCCTAATTGTTAAGGAGGAAGACCCTTCTCGGCTCGACCAAGGTGGCCTTGTCACGGTCAGCTGATGTTCGCCAACGAAGGGAGACGCCGTTGACACCGGAAAGGCTACTTCAGTAGCTGCACAGGGATTGCTATATTCCCTGGTTGCGAACCGCCATCGCAACGCGCAAACCCAAGCCTCAAACCCGCCATTGTAGTGACCATAGCTCCAGTCACCAGGTGCCATCTTCCAGACCAGCTTAAGACACCGATCCGCCATTGTCAACGGAGTGATTAAGCCACGGATCGCCATCGCGGTCAAACAACAGCTGCCCAACATAATCACCGCCATCGTCCAGCAAACACCACCGGTACGTACCAAGGAAGCAAAAACCCACAGAACACACCCCATAATAGCCCAATAAAACCATCCGCACCATAGTTCCATTTTAATAAACTTTTAGACTTTTTCCACCCACACTTTAGCTTCCAATTAATTTCACAATCACGTAAGAAATCCCACAGTTTCTGCACAGTTTGTTCCGCGTACCCCTCCAAATTACCAAGTAGCATGCCGGCCCTGTGACACAGTTCAGGGGTCTCATGCTACTGAGCTAGATATCCGGGAGTCTTGGTTGAGCCACATAGGGTGAGTCTCATCTAGTCTCAAGCTACACTTTAAAGTAAAGAAGACAGTTACCATGAATAATGCGAGTGATTGAAATCTTCCATGCTTGGCTATAGCCCCCTAGTCCTCTCGTAATTACTCCAATAGATTCAGGAAAATATTTTATTGTTTAAGTTTATTGATTCAATAAGATCGAATCAGTTTATTTTAATGCCTTACTTGAGTTTTGCCATGATCAAGACAGAAATACTGATATTTGCATATTTTCAAAGTCATAAAAAATGATATTTTCTAATCTGTCGTTCTGCTTAAAAACTAATTTGTCCTAATCTTACTCTCACTTATACCTAATGGAAGACATTGTCAACTATTTTCCTTAGCAAACTTCTGTCAACGGGCAAGGTCTGTTCGTACTTGTATACCGTCTCGTGGTACTTTGCGTTCAGTTCTGGATCCTCTGGTCCCCAGTGGTGCATCGGTTTGAAACAATGCAAGATTCGATCCTTCCAACTTGGCTCTTTCCTCTTCATCAGCGCATAAACAGCCCAGGCCGGCAATTGAAGAACGCCGGCCGCAAAGACGCACCATCCAAAAGCTAAAGACCAATATTTGTTAGCAATTTCAGACGAACGAAACTGTAAATCAAACAACTCACCATACATTCCATCCGTGTAAACGTAGCCATTGAAGGTAATCGGTTTGTATGTTGCTACGTGATAGATCAAAATAGCAGTCAGTAAAATAGGTGTCACAAATCCCCAACATACTCTCCAGTACAGTCCGGTTTTGATTCCCAACATGAACTCGATATCCCGGCAGATTCGCCCAACTCCGTAGATCCAAGAGAACGTTATCATCTCAAACACAGCCAACACCAGTGCCACAAACGAAGCACCGTAGAAATCCAAGAAATCGAGCAAATACTGTCCGCCTGGAGTGGTGTAGATTATTCCGATTCCGAACCCAATGATCGCTATCACGAACGCCACCAGCGACGGCTTCAATTGGGGGAATCGATCCCGCACCACGGTCATGATGGTCGTTGCCATTCCAACGTTGCTTCCGATTCCGAGAACGAACAGCATCAGGAAGAAGGCACACGCGAAAAACTGTGGCCATAATGTGAACTTTGCTATTGCATCGGGATAGGTGATAAATGCTAGTCCAGCACCGCCTCGGACGACCTTGTCAATGTCCGGGGCATCCAGAACATGAGCCAAGTGGCCAATGATTCCAAAGACTATAAGTCCAGCGAGCATGGAAGTGCACGTGTCCAGGATGGACACGATGGTGACATCCCTGTAATTAGAAATAAGATGATAAATTAAAGATCAATGAAGAACCCAGATACTCACCGGTAGACATTATTCGAGAATCGATTGTACGACGAGTACATGATAACGTTTCCGAAACAGACAGTTAGTGAGAAGAACACCTGAGTCACAGCCGAGTACCACACCTTGGCTTCGAAGATTCGATCCCACTGTGGTTTGATGAAGTACAGCATTCCCCGGCCGGCACCCTCCAAGGTACAAGCCCGGATGAGCAGCACTAGCATCACAATGTATGGGAAGATTGCCAGGAAGTATGCCACTTTGCCGGAGCTTTTGATTCCTGCAAATTGAAATGTGTGTGCGTGTGTGAGTGAAAACGCTATAGTATAACTACATGTGGACGATACCTTTGATCAAGGTTAGACAAATACAAGTCCATGGTACTAGCAAGCATAGCACCAGCTTCCAGTCGGGAGCTCCAATGCCGTCGTCTATGGTATCAGCTTCGTTAAGAACCTCTTTTCTGTGGTAATAAATAATAAATAATAATAATCAATAAACATGTAAGCCGGTTAAATATTGCTTGACAATCAGTTCCCAGATGAGATTATGAATGAAAATGAAATTGATAAACGGAATATTGATTCCAGATTTGAAAATCAAGATTCTGTCCCTGTTTATTTAAGTATTGCAACCAAATTGGATTTCGGCACGGTAAGTGTTACTAAGTGTTCACTAAAAAGGTTTGTCCAGACTCTGCATCAGCACAACCAACTTTAAAGGATACAGCCCGAAGTAACGGTTCTCTGGATGAACCATCCACAATGCTGGAATTTTCAATGGCATTTCTTTCATCGAATAACACTGCTCAGGGAAGCGATAAGATCAAATTTGACCTTCTAAAAAACCTCCCCGATATCGCTCATTTATGGAATTCAATATAAATAGTTCCACCAGCATGGAGACAGGTTAAAGTAATAGCTATTCAAAAACCTGGGAAACCAACATCTGATCACAATTCTTACTGTCCGATCTCTATGTTATCATGCCTGAGGAAATTATTAGAATAAAATATCTTATTAAGACTTAAACATTGAATTGAACCAAACAATCTACTTTCAAATACGCAGTTTGGTTTCCGTAAAGGCCCACGCACATTAGATGCGGATCGGACGCGTTGCGGCAAAATCTATTGTCTAACTGTCAAATTTACGTCAACGAAACTCAAACGGATCTAATGTGGGTGCCCTTAAGAGTAAAGGAACAAGCAATTGTCTAACGATGCTTTCATCTGGTATTCAACTAGCCTTTGCGCACAAGAAGAAATTGGTTTCAGTCTTTTTGGCGCATTTGATTCAGTTTTCATAGACAAACTGTCAGACAATTTGCACAGTAGTGGATTACCTGGTATTTTAAATAATTGTCAGGAAAACAAATGACCTTCAATGTAGGTCAACTGACAACTTCTAGAATTAGCTACATGGGCTTACCCCAAAGGCAATGTTTAAGTCCCTTACTTTATAATTTCTATGTCAAAGATATTAATAACTGCTTGGATAATCGATGCACGCTTAGACAGCTTGAAATCGATGCCGTGGTTGCTCTGAGAGGTTCATGAGCAGAAATCTTGCAAAGACCATTGCAAAATTCCCTAAATAATCTGTCCTTCTGGGCAAGAAATTGAGGTATCGAGTTTTCACCGCAAAAACTGAATTGGTAGTATTTACAAGGAAGTGGTTTCCAGCACAACTGCGTTTAAATCTTTTGGACAGAGACATTACCCAATCTTTAACTTTCAAATACCTTGGAGCCTGGTTTGATTCAAAATGCACTTGGGTTACCCACATTACGTATTTGAAACGAAAGTGTCACAGATGATCAACTTTCTACGATCAATTTCCGGGACATGGTGGGGTGCTCACCCGGAAGACCTAATTAAACTGTATAAAACGACTATTCTTTCAGTTCTTGAGTATGGCTCGTTTACGTCTTTATCCGTTCATTCTATGAAATGAGCAAATCCAAGCCGTTAACTAGGAAACTTGGGCACTGAGTGAGTTCCGCTCGAGTTTCAGGTGGCTTAAATCACTGAGTGACTGAGTCAATGGTTGAGCAGGATTTTACTGGTTATGCTGTACGGATACGGAGACACGACAAAGAGAGGGAAAGAGGATTTTTATCGCTGCTTGCCGCAGTCAGCGTTTTTTTGTAATCCATTTATTTGTCAAGGCTCAAATGCGGTAGCTTTGCGGAGCCAAATTATTTTTCATTTAATTCAGTCAGCGTTCTGTTTCATTGGTGAAGGTTATTGTTGTTATTCTTACTGATGCAGATTTGCTGTCTTCACCTCTGTCTTCACCCACTTCAACAGTCTTATTCTCATCCATGGTATGGCAAAAATGTGCCAACCCCGGCGTGACGTTGAATCTATCTTCAGGTGTCGCCCCTTTGCACGCTTACTAATAAGTTGTTTAATTTCACTTGCCCCTTTCTCAACCAGGCTTGAAATATAAGCTCTTGTAAAGGGTTCCCCGGCGGCCTGGTATAGTGGTTTCAGAAGAGTTTTGGTACAATTCTAGTCCGGGAATCAAGAATAATGTTTGTTTTGTTGGTGTCAACCAATAATTTTACACTCGCGCTCGCATTGGATTTCTTCGTGGATGGCCTTTCTCCAGCGTCTTTTCTTTCGCAAAACCCCAAGCTTTAGGCCACCACAACGTGGTGTGACACCATGCGCCGCTTGTAGTTCTTCGATATGATTTTTTTTTGCTCATTTATGCATTTGGCGTCGGGATCAGCATTGCACCGAAAAACTGATCCTCCCTCCGCCAGTACTTTCTTCACGACACTCAACACTGACTACTCTTTTAGCGACTTACGCTTTGCCATCATCACACACGCACAAATACAGTCGATGATAAAAAAAAAAAGCACCCAGTCACAACTGCTTCACCGAACAGGTAGACTCACTCTGACCCAATTTGTCTCCACACTCTGACTCAGACCTCGAGTTAGATTCATGGTGAATCAGATCGACTAAGCTCAATGACTGAGAGAGAAAGAGAGAGAGAGAGAGAGAGAGTCTGGTTACACCATTTGAAAAATTCATGTAAATTTCTGCTAGGTATAGCGCACATAAATTTAACGCTAGATTTGGCATAAATTTTCACGATATTTCATGTTAATTTAAGTGCTATATCACATAAGTTAGCAATATTGTATGCAAGCTTGTAAACGATTTCGCTGTTTGAGTCAAGTATAGCTCAAAATTAAACGAAGGGAGATTTTACGCGATAGTTAAAATTCAGAATTTTTTCTGTGTTGATGAACATATTCTCATGATTTGTCTGTTCTCCCGCTGAGTTGAGTCGGAATATTTTTGTAATTGCCTCTTCCCTATTCGTAGTGAGAGCCTGGTACGAAAATGAACATTGTGAGTTGTATCTCTCAAATACTGGTAGTGATTGTTAATTGATGCGAATATTTGCATCATTGACTACAGTTCCCCCATTGACTATGATCTCTCCATGAAACAGGCTATTCAAGGAGTTCCAGATCAACTTTGACCTATCTCAATTACCCGTATTTTTACTGAAAGTACCAACAAGTCAATTGCAATAGAAGATTTTTCACTGATGGATCACGCATTGATGGCTCCATTGGATTCGGTGTCTTCAATGAATACTCAACCGCCTTTCGGAAACTTCAGGAACCTTGTTCCGTTTATGTTGCTGAGCTAGCAGCAATCAACTTCGCATTGGGGATGATTTTTGACATGCCCATAGATCTCGGATAGTCTCAGTTCGATTGAGGCTATTCGGTCGATGAAACAAGGTAGGCACTAATCTTATTTCCTTTCAAAGTTAAGGGAGAAGATGAGTTTGCTGGTCGAAAGATCACATATGATTACCTTTGGTATGGGTCCCCACACATCCCCACACAAGGCAGACTCTCTCGAAAAGGTGGGTGCACAACATGGCTAGATTTATGATAGAAGAATTTCACATGATGAATTTTTCCCATTCGTACGTCAGCGTTCTCTTTTAAGTTGGCATTTAGATTTGACAAGTAATTCTCTTGGGCGGTGGTTACATTCCATTATTCCAAATATTTCTTCGAGAGCGTGGTTCAATGGTCTAGATCAGGGCGTCACAATATCAGCTTCAATCGACCAAATCGATGCGACGAAGAGATTGCTGGCTTTCTTTTTCTGTTAAAGTCGAACAGCTTCGCAGCATTCTAGAACCTCAGTCGGCGTGCACAAACAAATGTTCAGTGTCAACGTCTCTCTTTCTCCCGTCGCTCCATTGGTCTTCCTTTCAAGCTTCGGTGAAACGGATGAGCGAAAGAGTGCTCGACTTTGATATTTTTCTCTTTCATGAAATACGTCAACAGAGGTTTCATGACGTATATGACGGAAAATGAAATTACATATTTAAAGCATTTCTCACGTAAAAACACTTGAAGATTACACGTAATATGTTTAATTTATCTTCCATCCACATATTTATCTAAAATAATTAACGATAACGGGACATAACGCATTTTAAACAAATTGAAATAGCGGTGATAGAGTGTTCGTGAAAGGGAATTGAAAGCCATAATGAGGTTTCGTTTAACTAGAAAATCGACGTTACTTACATTGAAAGCGATGAGCAAAGCAACGACGAGAAGATCCACAGCCAGCGTTTCCTTCTAAGCGTGCTTCTTTTTCATTATCATTTCTTGCTGATAGTCTAGCAAGGCGTTATAGAAATGAAGCGTTGAACACGTTTGTATGAGATAAACAAAACTCGAGTTCATTTTAGAGCTTCGAAAATGTAGAGCCCTGGTCTGGATGTATGTCGGGGCTTCATTCGCGTGATGTCAAGACTTATGTCCAACCAATGCTCGCTAGAGGCACATCTCTACAGAATAAACCTCGTTGATAGCAAAATATGTAGGTGTAGAACCGGTTATGATGACATCGATCATGCAGTTTGAGATTGCCCGGGTAATGACGCCTCCAGAGCATGACTGTTGGATACCCTAGTGGTCCGAGGTAGACAACCCTTCCGTGAAGTAAGAGATGTATTGGGAACCCGTGATCTTCCCTACCCCCTCTTTTCCAAACAATTTCCAGCCATTGTGTCCCAGTCTTATTTTCCTCCTGTCTCTGAGCTACTTGCCCTTGCCCAGCCAGGATAGTAGTCTAGTCTAGAGTAGTATCTGAAGGAAGAGTCAGAAAGCAGTTTCCTACCGCTCCTTCCAATCGAAATTGTGTCCCATTAATCTCAAGCCCACCACGAGTAATTGGTACCCAATACTAACCTAGAACTACTGCTGTTTCAAATGTTGATACAAACATTACTGATTTTTGGCTCCGCAAAGTGTCACACACGACTGAGCCTAGTAAATAAACGAACTAGTGAAAAAAAGTGTGATTATGTATTCAGTAGCTTACAATAAGAGCTATCAAGGTATATTTGGCATATAAATTTCACACAGAGAGCCAAAGCTGCCTCAGCCAAAAACGTCGAAAGC